TGATTTAAATATTCTTATGCATGGAGTTTGTATACGAGAACGTAGCTTGTTATAGGGCCTTGTACGAGAACCTGGCTTACTGCGCACAGCCCTAGAAAACTGGGCGTGCTGCGTATGCAGATACATTCAGGTTGTTCATTTTATTTGGATCATGGTGGATTCTGCCATTTTAAGGCTAAGTATTTCGAAGAAAACATACCAACATACAGTTCAATTGGCTGCTAAATACCATCAAAATCATGCACAAGCTTTATTCCTAGTTTATATACGGTTAGCCGGGTAGTTGAATGAGACCATCTGATGCCTGAGGACTAATATAAGGTTTTTGTTTGTCTGTTGCAAGGGAATACAGAATATTTTCTTTCCTCCAGATTAAATCAAAACGTAACGTAAAAGTATAATAATCGTTAACAACTTCAATAAATAGCGGAAATAAGGTGCCACGACGCCGCCGGCGTGTAAAATTATGTTCGACAATGGCAAGAACAAATTCATCGGCGTAATCGGCATAGCTGCAAATTCAGTCATCAGTCGGTAAGAATTAAAGCACCAATCACAATTATTAAGATGTACGTCCCCGTCAACGGTGCAGGCCCTTCTATAACATGGAAAACCCGAGACCAATAAGGACGGCATCTGAGCAATCGAAACTGCCGTGGCACGCTAACAAAGAGGCTCGTGTGAACAGTGAATAGTTCTTATAACAAGCGAGAAGAAACCTAACACAAAAGTGGTGGGACCCCTGAACGATCGGGAGTACCCCCGGCAGGCTAACATATAGGGTCCAGTCAGAGTACAGGATTCCCTGAACAAAGGACAATAACCGAAGATCAGTGTGCATGAACTAACGCCCCTGTGTAATCAAGAGTGCCCGGGCGGGTTAGCTGAGAGAGCTCTGACAAGTGAGGGGTACTAAGCAAATAAGCTCAAAAAGGGAAAGAGCCATATGTCAATGAAGAGGGCTCCTGAGCATTGAGTGCCTCGGAGCGTTACCGTATATGGGACCCCAGCAACAGCACGAAATCCTCCAAACAAGGGCAAGAACCCGATATGAAGGATCCGATACCAATGTGAAGGGCTCCTGAGCAACCGAGCGTACCCCGGCATCTGGGGTCCCGGCAGCAGCGGCGGGGCGGGAGAGCCCGCTTTTCCCGCGGCCGCAGCGGTCCCCTCCGAGCACGCGCCGCCGCCCGGCGCGTCTGCCCCCGCCTCGCTGGGGAGCTCCGGGGCGCGGCCGCGCCCAGGCCGGAAACGGCCGCCAGGTGTGTTGGTTATTTATGGTAACCATGCTTGGCTGTACGCATCACGTGGTCATCAGCGGAATGCCAGGTGACTGTGCCATCTGTTGACAACAGAGGGAAATAGCTGCATGACTCAAAGATGCTTCTGCAGTGTTATCTAGCGTCAGGAAGCCAAACTAGTCTGGTTGTCACAGATACTGGACGTTCTGAACTGTGGACTTTACGACTCCGGACCTTGCGACTCTGGACGTTGCGTCCCTGGACCTTACGAACTTCCCCAATGGGCACGGAATGGGACGTATTCTGGATGTCATGAACGCTGGATGCTGCAATCCTGGGTGATATGAACACTGGCCGCTGCAATCCTGGGCGTTTTGATGGTCCAACCGCGAATGGAAGTTGCGTATCACGCTGTTCACGCCACAGGGAATGTTTTAACCTTTAAATAGGGTTTTAAACTGAATAGTTGTCTTGATCTCCTTTTGATGCAGTTCACGACCGTGCCTTTTTTAAGACCCAAAGCTCTCTGATTTGTGAGTTACACCGCCCCCAATACTGCGACACAGGTTTATTGGGAGACTAACTTCAAAGTCAACCTTTGGCATTGATGTCGTCATATAAACGTCATACGATTGCGGTGATCGGCTGTTTGTAAGATTTTGCTGCTGAATGCGTGTCGCGAACGTAAGCGAGCACTTTCGGGTTGTGCAGCACTCGTCGCCAACGGGGCATTTTCCCTATTTCTAGACCATGGGTCAATGTTATAAATGAGAACGCCACTGTCTGCAAAAAGGTACAGCACCGAAAAAACGACACTTCTGAATGTTGTAAAAAAGCAGACGCGACCCGCAAATCTGCCTTCTTTCTCTTCCTGACATTTTTATTCTCTTCTGACACATTTCTACAGACAGCTCGGTTGGCGCCTTGTGTACCGGAGCAAAGAGCCTTGCACGGGTGTATGGGTTAGCAAGACATTATAAAATTAGGGAAACATGGCAGTAAATTATAGATATAAATTTTGCTAAATATTGAGCACGTATTCTAGGAAAAATGAAGTCCTGAACAAAACATTGTGTTCTACAAGTGCAAACTCTTGATTTGCGTTACCATGAGCCCCCCACTGGGACTTTGTTTTAAAGCGAGCCACGGTGAAATGCGGTGTTATAACCGGAGATGTGTGCTGAAATTGCCAGAAAAACCTGCATTTGAGAGTCCCGCGGGTTGTGCAGTGTGTGATCACACTTTTTAACATAAGAATGTGAATCAGGCGTTTGAATGGGTGTGATAACTGGTGGGCATGCCAGTGCGCTGTATTGATCTTGATGTGATGTGGGAGTGTGCGTTGCGAGGTTTGTCCTGAGAAACAACGTTGTTTTGGCATCCCTTAAATCTAATGACTCTCAATAAATGTGATATATTGGATGCCTGCCTCTATCTTTAGGTTTGCGTTTGAACATGCAGGGTACTGATGTCTGTAAACAGAAGAAACACTAGCACCCATGCTGCAAGGGTGTTCAAAGGCAATTGCTACTTCATTATGCTCTTGTCAACATTTGGAACCTGGTCAGGCATTACAGCATGTAATTAATCCATTGCTTGCCATTATATTAGCGATTCATTTAGGCGGTAAGGACAGGGTCAGCGCAGCTCATTAATGCACATGCTTTGTATAAGCTTGCATGAAATAACTTTGCAAGGTTGTCTTTCACTTAAAAATTCTCAAAATATAGTCCTTGTATTATAATGGGGGCACAGGCAAGCATTGCTTGTGAGTCAGCGTCGTCAGTCACCACAACTTGTTCGGGGTTCTGGGTGCTGAAAAATGTGGAGAAGTATTGCTGTTGGTTTCGTGGATAACACTTAATAATAGTTTATCATGAGCCTTGTGTGTACCGGCAGCTTCTTAACTTACTTGCATTTCACCTATCTAACCATAACTACATGCACTTGTCATGTCTCCAACGTGGTGCAAAGGTCATCAGGTTTGCAGTGTCATTTCACTCACATGTAATATTTGTTTCATGTGTGTTATTTGTGCTGTGTTGACATGTGTTGACACTTGTGTCAACAATATTTTCAGTGAAGCAGCCTGATGGCTGCAGTATGTTGCATGGCTGTGGAAGCAGAAGGCGTGTTGCATCTTTGTCACGTATGTGTTCTGGATTCTCAAAAACAGGCTGAGCAAGTGATACCACTATTAGTTGTGTGCTTTGCTGAAAGTGATTTGCATATTGTATCATGTGTTTTGGTCACTCATATGTCAGATGCGGAGTTAATACAAGAGTGCATGCTTGACCATCTTTCAATGATGGTATTTATTATGAAAGCAGCAGGGATTGCAGTACAAAAACCGCATCGCTGTTCATTATGCCATGCCACAGTACAGCACTGAGGTTGTGCTACGATGACACTGCTGACCGGTGCCATACGCAATGTACCACATTGGTTGACTACTCTATGTGAAGCCTATGAGATAGTAGCTTCTAATTTATGAATAACTGGTAACAGCTGATTTCACAGCGCCAAGAGACTATCACCGGTGAGAATGTTGTTACAAACACAGTGGTTATATCAGGGTTAGCTAGTAATTGCATAAGTAATCCTAAGTGAGACAGGCATCCTTGGAAGCTCAACCTTACCATCTTTACCATAGAAATAACAACGATTTGACAAACAATTGGTAGTAATGTTACAGATTTATCATTTTTGTCTGTAACTGTATTTCGAGCCACAAGTAATAAAGAAAGTAATTACCATGCACATCACATGGTATCAATGTCAGGACTACAGCACTGCAGGCAACGATAAGTCGACAACACACTATTGACATCCTCAATAGTCCTTGGCGGGTTTCGGTAAGAGATTCATGATTGTTATATGCAGACTTCACAGCACATCGTGCTTTAACATTGATAATCGGTCCAAAAAGCTGGCGATCGCCACGTGCGTATGTCAAACATCCCATCAAAGCTTCTGTTACAACCAGTACCAAGACAAAAAAATATGCAAACAGACATTTACTAATCCACGGCCCACCAACACGGCACCCGCGACGAGAATGACCGCCTGGCGTCAGCTTTCATGCGTTTCGAGGCATTCTTTAGGTCTGGCTACCAGATGCTGCCAGGGGTTGCTGTCGTCTTAAAGCCATTCCATGACGCCAACAAACAATGACATTACCGGGTGCACTTTTACAAACTTTGAATTTTGCACCTCATGGTCGTTTTTGGGACGTTGAAATCCTACCAGTAGCTACAAGTAAGCTTTTTCCATCACATTGGATGCTTATCTCAATATCTTCATACGTAAAGCATTCCCTTTAATAAGCTCTAAAAGCGAAATATGACTATGCGTTTAAGCAAAAGGATCACATCATTTTGATGATGTTTTATCATGTTAGCCTACCATTTGCACCACAGTACATTTTCGGCGTGAATGAGAACTGCATCTTAGATGAACGTGGCTGCCGCCGCTGCCTTCTGTCTTTCAGCGTGATGACCAAATATGGTGCCGCTGGATGTCTTTAGTATGTCTCATGCATTTCGTCGCGTTGGCAGCTAGCAAAAGATATTTTATCATGGCTTGAACAACATTCGACTTCTTCCCAGCAATTCCAGTTCGGCATCATTTCTGCTGCACCGACTACGGCCAGGTGTCATCCAGCTATTGCATACCAGTATCCTCCCTCCCTTCCACCAGCGTTGTCGGCTGTGCCTCTGCCAGCCTGCCCATCTGACCCTGCTGAGCGCGCCCCCGCAGGTCGCCGGTTCGCCGAACAAGATTTCTACGTCACGCTGGTGCGGCTGCTGCAGCGGTTTGAGCTGCGGCCAGCCCCTGGTTCTGTCGAGCCCCTGCGCCAGGTTCACCAGACACTGCTGATGCCAGACGGTCCGGTGCCGGTCCGCTTCGTCCGGCGATAAATAAGTGTGCGACGAAGTGCAACAGATACTCTCGAAGCCAGACGCTTCGGATGGCTTGGCAGAAGTAGAGGAAGAGAAGAGAGAGAGAAAATAAAATCATAGAAGGGAAGTTCACATTCCTACGGGAACATGATCGTGTATAAACTGCGTCGGCAATGGAAACAAGATACCACACAGACACATAGCCGCAATATCATCAGCGGTAGCTAGCGCCCAACACCTAATAACCTAAAAGTCGTACAATCGTTTTGTGGGCATAGCATATATGGTGGGTATGGTGCTTATATATCACTTTGAAGTAAATATATATATATATATATATATATATATATATATATATATATATATATCACTGGCATTGAAATAATTCAGCATTTCATTTAATTATCACTTTTGATATATGACTTGATATATTTTAATAATAGATATATCACTACTAATTATTCAATATATCACTTTAATTTAATGAGATCACATCAAATATATCACTTTGGCATTTAAAGTGAATATTCCACATCTGAAAATGTTGAGGGCAAGCGTCAAATATGATGAAGTTAGTTCACTTGTATCGATTAGTTTGGTTTTTGAGCATGAGAGACTGGTCTTGGCATCAGAGCTTCACTATTTAAGCAAAATTGTTGCTCAGTACGTCATGGTGTGGTTGCGTCATGAAACGTTTGTGTGACGCCAGTATGCCTGCTAGAATGGCCGTGCGAAACTGTCGCCGTATCGGACGGGCTGACTCACGCGTAGCACTTCAACTTGTCGAGATGTGTCGTGCCAATTGGTGTGCATATTTACAGGAGCCAAATATCCTTATGGACGCGTGTTTTGACCCTCCCTGACGGCCTTCTCGTATATTCGTGCGTGATTTTATATTGTTTCTCGCAATCACAAACTCATTTATGGTGCTATTTTCAAGTTGTGTTTCCAGTCTTATTTCCGTCATAAGTCGTACCGCTACCCGAATTCCCGCACCGTATGTGCTGTATTTACTGCTGACGCGCTTTGGGCGTCGTTGAGATACTCGCTCTGGTCCTCAAAGAGAACGCTTCTGTAGTCACCATTTGACTCATGTGAGATCGCTGATGCCTACGCTTCTTGTCATGTTCCGCCACTGAATGGTCGTCCCGATGCTGTCGCAGTCTTGATTTGTGAGAAATAAATTTGTTTCTGTTGAGTACAACGTGACTTAGGCTTTGCCTGAGACACTCGGGATAAGCGCTAGTTTGTCACGCAAGTAAATACCGGACGTCTACAGCACCTCGAACTCACCTCACCACGGGCCTCTGCATCAGAAGACACACGCTTTCGGAGAACTAGCTAAGCTATCGGGATGGACTTGGTATTTTGCGGGACGGAACGGCTAAAGTACAGTTCGGAGGTGTCACGGTGGCATGGTAATATGGTTATATGGACCAGGGGTGAGAAAAATGCCTTTTCTGTCACCGACAAGTTTTGGAACCGTCTTAATTGTCGCCTGTAGCCGATCCTTCAGAAACCGTTGCTATATAACTCTAAATGCAATAAACCACAAAACAAAGACAAATTTAATGCAATACGACAAAACCATCAAACATTTTTGCTTCGTGAGTTCATTTGCACTCAAGTATCACTTCCTGGCCATCAAGCACTGAATGATCGTTGAGACTTAACTAACACAATTGTCAGATATAGGCGCACTTAACATAACCAGTTTGAGGGCATGTAGTTTCCTTTCGGACAAGGGAAGGAGATTGTGTCTCCTTACCATGGATATAGTTTCCCATTTCTATTTATCATTTTTAAGCATTACTGTTCATTAATCACAATTTTAGGGTTTAGCCCTCAAACCAATTTTGAGAAACCACATCCTTGCTCCCAATTGTGAAAAGAAAAATGCGTCAAACCTGTGTGGAGAACTGTTTTCAGTGCATTTTGGAGACAGACTCAGTCATTTTTTCTTGCCCCCACTCTACAATCCTTCGACCCTGCGTATTTTGCAAAACTGCACCCTGTAGCCATATATATACCTACAACATGGTTCTACAAGCACCTGACAACAATGTCACCTTTGGTTTTGTGACGTCACTGTACAATCAGTTTAGCGCGCAGGCGACCTTCACTATCTTTGCATAATCGTTACCGATGCGGAAATCACACTTCCTTCACACCAACATGATCCCAGCCGTTTAGAGTAAAGCCCATGCAATATTGGTGTCAACAGATGCAGAGATCATTTTTGAACACCTCTACCACCTTCATTCAGTTTTATATGCGATATGATGGAAATAAAAAGCGTTTTATCTCACGCCTGTCCACGATCAGTACGCTAAGCCAGAGGTGCGACGGGCGGTGTGAGAGGCCTACAACATTAATGCCCAGTCTCTTACCTCACACCCGTTGTCACTCTCAGCAGCAAAAAGCCCCGGATGAGTCGCTGACATGCATCGCTCCAACGTCCTCCGCTTACCTCCTGAGATACACCTCAGGTATCCACAAACAACAATCTTTCTAAATCGGTAGGACCTTTTAACGCCATTACATTAAAAATTGACGATTAGCTACGTTCCTCTAGTCAGTCAGCCTCTCACGACATGGACACGACAAACAGCAGCCCACAGCCTTGCACTACATCCAACGCATCACCGCGCGGAGAGCGCCCGAGCCCGTCTATCTCAAATGACGCTTTAAAGCGCGGCGTAGCAAACTGATCACGTTCGTCGCAAGATGCTGCGGCCAGATACGATCCTTCAAGTAATAATCCTAGTTATTTAACATATTGTAGTGTTTAGGATGTGAAGGAAATCTTTGCTGAAAAATATATGAAAACCACTGATTTGAGGGTTGTTAGAAAAGCACTACGTCACCACTGATCTGCGACGGCAGAACTGATATGGTACAGTTTGCAGTATATTTCTGGCACCTGCTTAAAACTATTCTGATTAAAGCTACCATGTTTGGCAGCTAAGCTACTATGTTGCTCATAGTAGCTTAGCCCATAGCTCAAGCTGCTCATACAGCGAAACGTCAACGTTGTGCCAACGACATGTGTTCTACACATCCCCATTGACATGACTTGACTTGCGCACGACTTGGCACGCTGTGAATTCGGTACACTCGACATCATCACACAATCATGTGAGCCACAGAGCTAGGATGAAGCGGGTAACCGGGGCATTGGCGGGATGGTGGGTCCGGTCAGACATCATGAACGGCTGTCTCCCCGAATTTAGCTGTGCGCCCTTAATCACGGTACCCCACCTCTATCCTTTTAGCTAATGATGATATCTAAACGGTGCAAAAACGGAACCGGATGCACTGATAATACGCAACTGGAAAGGATCCAACGTAACTGGCGAATAACATTGACAGTGGCCCACTGAATAATAACCCAGGGAGCCCCTCGGCCTCAAGTTTTCCACGCAGGCTCCACGCACTCGACGCCCCACCGACCTCACTCCAAGCATACACATACGCTGGCGCCCCCCACGCCAACCCACTCATTCTTGGCTCGCACACGGATGGGATCCCCCCCCCCCTTGATCCAGTGTCTCGACGTTAAAATTGACTCGTCTGAGCGAGCCCTCGTTAAGCTAAGTTCAATTTACGTATCACATTTAAAACATTCAATACATCCACGTCTAAGCCCTTTTTGAAATATATCATGTTAGTTGGTCACCTCGGCACCGACGCAGCTACTGGGCCGACATCAGGTGTCCGGAGCTGGATGGCGACTCGTTCCCTCGCCTGACCTCCAGGGTGACGGCCCCCTGTTCCGACGACGCCTCCCGCGTTCCGTCCATGGAAGGCGGCCCATCATTTATTTGGCCACGCCCAGCGCTCACAGGTTTCCGCTGCCGCGCACGCGCCTTAGGCAACGCCTAGTCGAGCAAGGATGCGTCGCCTCCGGCACTTCTGCGCCCTTGCCCCCCGCTGCCGGAGTGAGCTTTGCAGGGCAATGCCCCGCAGCGCGTCCGTCCGAGGCCTGGAGGCGGACAAGCGCGTCCAATGGGACGGTGGAGCCCCTTGGCAGATGACGAGCGCCCGGCGTGACCTGCGTTCACGTCTTACGGTCTCCTCAGCCGGCGCACTCTTGGAGGCTCTGCCTGACCGGCCTGTCCGACGAACTGGTTCCTCGTCGCCCATCCGATGAGCGTCGATGGCGGGATCTCTCTCCGTCCCGAACATCCCACCATCTTGCTAGTAGGGCCTGGCGTACACTACGTGGGAAGAGAGCAGGCTGAGTCCTGCTTGCTCCCAAGGCATGGCACAGCAACGGATAGATCCCCTGGGCCATACCATGACCTATGCCTCTTTATGCCGTCACGCCTGGGGTCAAGTGAGAAATAAGAAAACGAGTTAACCGCCTCTTGGTAAAAAAGAGCGACAACGTGCCTTTGGGTCGCGCTACCGACAAACGTACGTCTGCGTAAAAGCAGTGCTGCGGTCGTCTGGCCCCTCAGCCCTGCCCTAGTCGAGCCGTGCTGCTCTGGCCTGTTCCGCGCCTGTCATCCCTCGGTTGCGGTCCCTTAATTCGATCTTCGGGAAAGGACGACGTGTTGCGTGTCGGTCGAATGTTTGGGAGCCCGGCGGGAGTTGACCTCGATCCCAAAGCAAACAACTCCGCTTAACAAGACAATTAACCGCTTGAAAAACAAACAGAAAAACAAAATGCACGCAAGCGAATGACATGTAAAATCAGTTGATAATTGGAGCCGGACCAGCGATAAAGTAGAGGAAGAAGACTCGCTCGTGGATGAAATCAGTGCGGCTGTGCTGGCCGGGTCCGGCAAGGGTCTGACCGCCCCGAACAATCGGAAAGAAGAGAATCATAATCGTCATACTAGCCATCTCATTTAGCCATATTTAAAGGACACCTTCATGAATATACAGGCGTGGCCCATACGCCATGACCGGTTGCGACGCGGGACAGGGGGGACCGTGACGAGCCGCTGCGCCTGCAACGGCAACAATTTAGGTAGCCCCGGCGCGGGCTAACGGGTGAGCCGTTGCGCCGAAACTTGCGTCATGAGCCTAGGACGCCATGTCCATCCACGCTGGGCGCGAGTGCCCCGTCACCACCCGGCCGAATCACTTCCAGCATTGATTCCACGCTGAACCATTTAAAACGCAAACTGCTGACTATCCTTAAAAAACAAGACATAGGTGAACCATATAACACGTCACGCCCCCCCCCCCCCCCCCCCCACCGCCCTCTTTCATCGTGGGAGCGCCCCCGAGGCGCATTGCCCGACCGAGAGGGTTGCATGGCCAGTGCCCCCTCTCCTTTCCTAACTATACGGAAGGGAACAGGTGGTCGTGGCCCACGCCCG